TGCATATGCTCAGCAGCCTGGACCCCACTGTGGTAAGGCCATCAGAGATCTCCGCTCCTGGTCGCTCATTTAAAAAGCACAGATCGGAACAAATTGTGCGAAATCTGTCGTGTTTCCCATCATGGCACATGTTGTAATCAGAATGACCCACTCATCAAGAATTCGGTTTTCAAAACTGTAAAAGAGGTGGCAGAGGTTGTACTTCTTGGCCAGGATTTTCAGACTGGACTTGAAATTTTTGAGAGCTCTCAAAGGGGCCTGATGGTTGGGAAATGCTTCAGGAAAAGGGACTCCTCTTCAAAACAGGCCAGGTTGAGATCATCAGTGCCACAGTTCCAAAATGTGCAGCGATGGGTTAAAACTGGGGAGAAAAGGATGATTTCTGTAGCTTTTTTTTTTTTTAATAGTAGTGTGAACATCCTTTCCATTTGTCATTTTCTGTCCTTTTACAGTGGATTTTGAGATTCCACTTACATGCATTTCTTTGTGATTCTGAAGGCTAGAAACCTCCTTAAAAATGAAAAGAGAGATTTTTCAGAGAGGCCCCTTTTCAGAGAAAGCCACGAATCAGAAGATACGCAATAAAACTGTAGAGCTTGTAAACGAAAAAAAGAAAATGAAATGTTGGGACTAGCAAAAAGCGACTAGATGACATTGCAAGCTGGAGACCCAAATCACTAGACCCAGCGATTGGTCTTTGTGCCTTTGGTTTTGAGGCAGGAGCGCGGAGCAAATAACGACTTTGAACAGAACCGTCTGATTAATTAAAGATGAGCAGGAGCAAAGATCAGCCTTTCCCTTTTGGGGGTGAGAACCGAGATCCCCTGAGCCTGTCTAGCAGCGGTGAAATAGTGCCCTCTTCACGCATCTTGTCGTGCTGACGCTGAAGGAAGCTTCGGGGCTGCCTGTCTGCCTGTCTGATGGGTGAAGGGGGAGCGGCACGTGGAGTCCGTGGCCTCTCGTTGCACTCTCTTCGCTAAGGCCACCGGCGAGGAACAGCACACGCGGCCACTGTTCAGTACCTCGGTGGTGTTCTTGGACACCAGGGCTTCTTTCAACCCTTCCACACCATCATTGGGGCCCTTCTCCAGCTGGAAAGTGAATCAGGTGCAGGTGACATCGCGCTCTGGAAGTGGATCCAGTGGATCACCTCCGAAAGGCACTTCAGCCTAGACTCCAGCTCCTTTGGTGGTGTCGGTCATCAGCGGTTTCAAAAAATGCACTGTTAGGGGGGCACTGAGCTGCCAAGAAAGCTTCCAGGAGGAGCCTTCTGCTTGGAGGCGCCGTCCCCACCGGGTTTCTCCTGTGCTCGCGCCGCCTGAGGTCTCATGTACAGAAATGCCAGTGTTTCTGCTCGAGAAATGCACAGCTTTGCCATCAGTGGAAGGAAGGTTAAATGTTATAGCAACAAAGTAGTTGAACAGGAATTTCCCAAGTAGGGTCGAGGCTTCAGAGAAGGCACTGAACCCTGTCAAGCCAGTAAAACGTTTTAAAGTGCTCTATATACATAAATATTTTCTCCAAACAGTGTCATGGATTTCATGCCCTCTCCTAGTATTTCATAGCACATTTACCAAGGTTTCTTTTCAGGCGATCGTGACAACAAAAGAGTAAAAATGGATTCGTATCAGAAATGACTAAATGAAAGGCTGGCAGTGGAGGGAGGTTGGTCGCTGACGGAGTGGGTTGAGGGCCAGGCAGAAAGCGCGTGCTGGGCAGGAAGGACTGGTTTTGGAGAGGCGGTCATTGAAGATGGGTTGCAGTCATCGTGTCGCTCCCGATTCAGACTGGGCTGAAAAGCAGTTAAGCGAACAGTCCCAGAATTTATATCTGGAAAAAAGATGATGTCCCTTTGGTAGCCTTCTCTTATGGTAGCCTTTTGATGGCCGTAGGTGGGAATAAGATTCACTCTGAGAACTGGCAGCCTTGCCTTTGAACCCACCAATCCCAGCACATAAACTGGCACGGCACAACCACGTAACTGTTGAACGTGACCTAAAACCTCCTCAAAACCATCTAGAAGGACCTGTATTGGATCTGCTTTCTTCCCAAGGTAGTTAGTTGTATGTCTGCATCTCCGAAGCCTGCTAATGATGGACTTGGCCCTGGGAATTTCCCGGCGATAGGCATTGCTGTTGTGTCAGAGCCAGCTAAAGCTCTGTAGCTTCATGTAAGTGGTGGTAGGTGTAGGTGCTAGAAGGTTGCACGTTGGATTTTGGCGTTTGAGCTGTGTCTGCTGTTTGGTGGCCAGTAATCACCTTGTTTCTTTCAGCAGTCTTTCATCCAGGAAGATCCCAAACCACTTGCGTTATCAGCATAATCATTCCTTGTTGCGCCTGCCAAAGGGGAAGGGAGCTGAGCTGGCCACGCTCTGCTTAAAGCTGTTGTGCTGCCAGCTGGATGACTCAGGGCCGGCGGGAGGAAGGTGCCCTCCGCATCGGACCGCTGCTCCGAAAAAAGCAGAGGATGGGTAGCAAGCCGGGCAGCGTTGGCCGCTCTGCTCCGCT